AGCCCAGAGCCTGCTTTGGATTCTGTGTCTCCTTCTCTCTCTGCCCCTCCCCTGCTTGCGTTCTGCCTCTCTCTCCTTCAAGAATAAATAAACACTTAAAAAAAAAGAAAAGAAAAGAAAAGAAAAAGAAGTGATAAGATTCCCGGCACTCACTAAGTGCTTACTATATACCAGGCATAAGTTTCTAGACCTTTCTCAGTCTGGGCCACTGCCATGAGGGTGCGAGGCTGGTCTGGTCTCTGCAGGAATGCACGCCACACTAGAGGCACGCAGCCTGGGGAGCCCCCTCTGCCGTGACTGTTGCCCCAAAATGCCTCGGTTCCTGGGGGGCTACGCTTTCTCTGCAAAGTGCAGACGATCTGGGAGCGGGGGAGGGGGAGGGGGGAGGTCACACGGTCCACATAAGTCTCTGGAATATTTCTCTAGAGCAAGGAATACGACTTGGCTTTAGAACCTCATGAGCTTCCAAACTTATCTGAAAATAGCAATTGCCAGGCCAAGCTATTTTCGCCAAGGTGGTATTAAGTTTGGCCCAAACCTGCTTCCTGTTGCCTCAAAAACACACCAAGCCAAACCAGAGCCGGAGGTTGTGGGGCCATAATGTTAAATGTAATTCTAGTTACTAGTTCAGTCTTCCTTGTTAAGATGTAGAGACAGAGGGGGTCCGGGGAGCCTCCGGTCCGTCTCATGGCCCCAGTCGTTGTACAAGGGCCTCGGATCTCAGTATGACCTGGGGCAGTCGCCTGGCAGGCCCTGGGGAGCGTGGCCCCAAGCCACCCCCTACTTGCTGCCAGGGAGCCCTGTGTCCAGCTGAGGACGCTCACAGGTGATGGCACAGAGGCTGGGCGAGGTAGGGGCAGGCTAAGAGACAGCACGGAGGTGGCACCCGGCTCTGCCACTGGCCAGCTGGGTGGCTCTGTTTAAGGTGCCCGGCTTCTTTGACTCTCAAAGGCTTCTTCTGACAAGTGGGGACCCAAACTACTCAACCATCGCGCCCACACCCGCCACCATCCCAGTGGCCCTGCCCTTGGCGTGCTAACACCCCTTAACTCCTGCGCGCTTGGGCTGATGGCTCTGAGGCAGGGCTGGGCGGGCCGCCATCTATCTGATGAGGAAGTGGCCGCACCCAGGACGGCACACAGTGGGTGCTCGCTCTGGATGGAGGAAGGAGGGAGCAGGGGAGAAGACGTGCTCGGGGGTTGGGACACCAGTGCCCTGCTGCCCTCCCCTCCACGCGGCCGAGGGTGGGCCTTGCCACTTGTGGTGGCCGGTCCTCACTCGGAGAAGCGGTCATAGAATGGGGAGCGCAGCAGGTAGTAGAGCAGCAAGATGGTCCGGCGCCGCAGCTCCAGCCGCTCCCTCCGGGTCAGGCCCTTCCTGTCACTCAGGAGGCTCAGGCTGGGGGCAGGAGGGGACACGGTCAGGGGCGGCAAGAGAAGCAGACGGCTCGGGTGAGGACAGGCCTGCAGCCCAGAGCCCGGCAGAGGGGGTGGAGCCCCCAGGAGGGCCCAGGCTCACCTGGTCACATCCACGACACCAGACAGGAGCCAGGGCGTCCACGACCGCTGACCCCACAGGCCCAGGCTGAGCACTGACGGCCAAGGTGTCAAGGATGTCTCCAGCACGTGGCCCGCCCGCCCACTCCCCATCCAGCCCACCCCGCAGCGCCGGCCAGCCCCGTGCTAAGGATACGGTGCAGCAGGGGCCGGGCGATATACAAGGACTCTGCGATGGTCTCTTGCAGCCCCAGCGGGGTGGGGGGGACACTCAGCTCCTCGTGCTGCTGCCGCTGCTGTCGTCCCTCCCGCTGCTGGGGGGCTCCCCAGTGCCTCGAGTGCAGGGACGGAGCTAGAACACAGGGGGGACAGATGAGCAGTCAGGCCCAGGCTGACCTGAGCACTGAGGTTCCCAGTCCAGCTACATCCTACACTTACTGTTCTGGAGGGTTCGTACCACTCGGTTTGACCGCTTCCCAACGTATGACTGCTCCTGGCTGCCGGGGCTCTGGTCACAATCTAGCACGGACAGACAGAAGGCCGTACTGTCAGAGGGACGTGTTTCCAGGAGGGCATGCAAAGAACAGGTGCACAGTGAATGCTCGCGGGCTGAGGGGAGAACGGATGAGCACGGATAAGCGTGTACTAAGGCCGTGGCTGAGGCAAGGACACCGTAGCCAGGCACTGTGGCTCAACATTCTCCCTGGCCTGGGCGAAAGGTCAGCATCACCCGTGGCAGGCGAGCCAGCCAAGAACCCAGGCTTCCCAGGGACTAGAGTGGCCCAACCACAATTGTGGGGACTGCAGCACCAGAACGACCATGTCTTCTCAGTCCGTGGCTTTCAGTAGGACCACAAGGAGAAGCAAAGAGCTGTCCCCACTCAAGGCCAGGAGAGTCAGGCCTGGAGGCCAACCGGTGAGGAGTCCAAAGCCCTGAAGGGACAGATCTGCCAGGTACCCTGCCTCATGAAGCTGTGCCTCTTGATAGATAGAACGAGGCCCAAAGACATGGTTGGCAGGACCTCTGTCTCCTACTCAAGGCGTCCCCTGTTCCTGCTGCCCACCAAAAAGAAGGAGGACTCTGGCGCCAGAAGCCCTGAGTTCAAGTTCTGATTCTGCCCCTAGCCTAACCTTTCTTCTTTTCCTCTGTACAATACACGGTGGCGAGAGCAAACTGAGCTGATAGGGACAGATGTGCTCCATAAACAGACAACACTCGGGGTGCCTGGGTGGCTCAGTTCGTTGGGCGACTGACTTCGGCTCAGGTCACGATCTCGCAGTTTGTGAGTTCGAGCCCCGCGTCGGGCTCTGTGCTAACGGCTCAGAGCCTGGAGCCTACTTGGGATTCTGTGCCTCCCCCTCTCTCTACCCCTCCCCTGCTCATGCTCTGTGTCTGTCTCTCAATAATAAACAAAAGTTAAAAAAATTTTGTTTTAAACAGACAACACTCCACTCATGCTGGCCGCTTCTAAACCCACAAATGAATCCCGTGTCCCAAGCCACTCCAGAGCATGGAAGCACCTTACCCGGGGAATGTGCCTGGGTCTCCCTGTCCAGCGGAATGATGGGGGGTGAGGTCTGGAGGCCAGCCTTGAACCAGATCAGCAGGAACATCCGTAGGACAGCCCTAGGTTGGGAGTATGGCAGGGCTGCGGGGGAGGTGGCTAGCCGGCAGGGGGTCAGGGGTGCTCTGCTGAACCCCATACGAACCGCTGGCCTGAGATGCCCCCACCCAGGCCCTGCCCTCCTCAGTCCCGACATACTTGGCCAGCTGGATGAGGGCAATGACGAGCCAACGGCCCACTTCACCCCACACCTTGGCGGCCCCCATCTCCATGAACACCTCCACGCACTCGAGCACACTCAGCCACGTCAGCAGCTTCTGCTGGGTCAGCGACTGCAGGAACCCCAGGCCAAGAGGTCAGGGAGGAGCCCCAATCCAGGCCCTCCCCCTAGAGGATTCCTCTGACAGGAGATATGGATTTTCCCCTAAGGCTGCACACGTAGGCCTGCGTTCTCCACGGGAGACAGGCTACCCTATGTCTCTGGAACTCAGAGAGGGGGACGCTAACAGCTCGACCCTGCGCCTTACAAGGCGGCTTAAAGCTCATACTCTGAGACCAAAACACCTGCCACCCACGCGGGCTGGTTGTTACCACTTTACTCCCAAATCCCGACACTTCCCGCCCTGGGCTCCTGACAGAATCCTCACCACAGGCAACTTTTTCCGAAGCTCCTTCCGCAGGATCCCGTCATTGAGCAGCACAAGCAGGTTAGAGGCGGAATACACTGAGGGGTAGAGCGCAGCCTTGAGGGGCTGGTGTGGCAGCCTCCAGGCCCTCCCCTTCTCTCCAGAGCCGCGGGGCTCACCTGTCACCTGCTGGGCTCCACCAACCACACACTCTGTGGAAACCAACCTGCCTCCCCCACCCACTTCCTCAGAGCTCCACACTCCCCAGTATGACCTCGTGGGGGCGGTTGGAACAAGAAAGGATAGTTTGATCTCGTGACAAACCCTGCTGGACAGCACTGGTCATCCAGCCGCCCAGAACTGCCCATCGCTCTCAGCAGCCATGGATGTGTGGTCTCACCTCCTGGCCTTAGTTCTCTGCAGCCCGTCCCTGAAAGTCTGCTCCACCTCTACCGTTCACTACCTCCAGTGCTCCCTGGGCAAACACTACTGAGGCAGTTACAGTCTGGGGATCCTAGAATGTGGGAAATCCAGGTTTGAATCCTGGTTCTGGGATCATCAGTAGCCGTTCCCTAACCTCACTGCCTTTCTGTTCCCTCAACTGGACACTGAGAGCGGTAGCGGTACCCACCTCATAAGACTAGAGGGGAGGATTAACTGGGCAAAGGCAGGAAAAGTGCTTGGGCCAGCCGCCTGACCAGTCAAGGTCCCCAGATTTGTCTCTCGACTATGGGGACATGGAGGGCCCAAGACGGTGAACGCTGGACCTCTGTCCGATTCAGTCACAGCACAGGACGATCTAATGGAAAACCTAGGGGTGGTCACCTCTCTCGGAAGCCCCGCCGCCCCCCACCCTCCCCAGAGCCCCGCTCACCCAGCTCTGACAGCTCATGCGAATCCGCGAAACGACCTGGAGAGAAGGCACAGGAGGCGACGGTAAGGGTTTGACTCAGCCTGCGGCTTCGGGCCCTGGACGTCCCCTCCCTATGCCCTATGGGAACCTGAAAGGAACTTCTCAAGCACAGCGACCACCACCCTGACTCCGAAGGGACGGGGCTAGTGGGGTCAGAGCCTCGAAGGGATCGGGCATAGATAGGTCAGGGTGGCACCTGCCAGCAGGTAACTGAGGCCCCGCACTGCCGTCTCCAGCTGGGCCGTGGCGGCCGGGTGGCGAGTCACGTACTCCTGGTAGCGGAGGCTCAGAAGCCGCAGTTTCTCCATCCTGCCCTCGGAACCGACAGACTCACGCACCGACAGTACGACAAGCTGCGGCGCCCTGCTTCCTGCGCCCTCCTTCCTGCTTCCGGTCCTAGGCCCGCCTCTTGGTTGCTTAACTTCCGCGGGCCCGAAGGATGTTGACGTGAAGGGCCATTGGGACTACCCTTCACCCCATTTCTTAAATCACCACCCACTAGACTAGCGCTTAGCAACGGAGGGCCTAAACCTGCCCTCCCTGATCCTTCAGGTCATTGGTTAACACACTCTCCGCCCCCGACCCGCCCAACAAGTTGGGGCCCGGTTCTTCCGCCTTCCGGGTGGGCTGCCCTCGCGCCTGCGCAGTTAGCAGTTCCAGGAAGGCTCCCGCGGTAGTCTTAGCAGTTCATTCTAGAGAATGGACCAGGACCCTGGAGTCTTTCCAATAGAACGCCGAGAGGCTCGAGCTGGAGGACCGGATTTTAAAGGGCTGGGAGGTAGCTCGCTAAAGGAACTTCCATCAGACTTGGGAGCCGCGGGGAGAGTCTTGGCAGGTGCGCGTTTGACCAGTTGCCTCGTCTGCCGTCCTCCCCGAGGTAGTGCGGGGGAAACCGAGGCAAGGAAGAGTACAGCCTTCCACGCAGTCTGGATTCCCTGGTCAGCACTGTTAGTGCTGGGCTTCGGCCACAGCTCCCGCATCGACTGTGCGGACCTTCACTCCCATCTTCGCAGAGAAAACTGTTTCGGACTTCTGCTATTGGCTCGGGGTGACCTGATCGAGTGTTTCCCTTTTCTGGATCTCGAGTTTCCCCATCTGTAAAATGGTTTAAGGAAAGACTTGGTCCTTGAACTCGGGCGCAATCTCAGAGCTCTTTTCGGCCCTCGGATGCACCTCCCGGTCCTCAGCTGCACCCCAAGGGATGGGGGAGACTCCTGGGAATCTCCTCCCAAATGGGGCAGCCTCCCTGAAAGGGGCTGTGGTGGGAGACGAGCGGCCAGAGGTTGATGCTCCGGGGAGGCCGCCACTAATTGGCTGTGGGGAAGGGGGCGGGGCATGGGTGGGGTCGCGCGGCTGAGCCCTTGGGGACCTGGCCAGTCCGTTTACCCTGAGAGTAGCAATACAGTATTTTACCCAATTCCCTCTGCCGGTTATTATCTGCAGGCGAGGAAAGGATCTACTTAAGAATGCCGAGTCACATCTGAATCTTGGTCTAGTCTGACCACAGAATCTAGGCGGTTTAAGCAACACACCTCACTTGCCCTCCTTGCACTACCCCCTCCCTCACCCTCCTCTCCAGCTTAGTTTTTTTCTATATCAAGTGGGGAATCAGAGCTGCCCTCCCGACTCATGCCAAGCAACGATGACTCGGGGAGATGTGTCCAGGGGCCTCAGGAGAGGCTAAAGGTCTTGGAGAACGGAGGGGGTCGTGGGCATTCTCAACATTTCTCACCACCTCCTGGGAGCCAGGCTCACTCATACGCCACTTCTCCTGGCAACCTGGCCAGCTCGGTATGAGCTCTTTTTCACAGATGGGGAATTAGAGACCCAAGTAGGGAAAAGGACTTTGTCCCAGGTCACGTGGCATGGCATTGGCCAGATGGGCCGCCATGTGTGCCTCCCACAGCACTGTCCTCTCCCCTGCTGCCCATAGCCCAGGAAGGGTGGTGCATCGAGACCACTTGGTCTTGACTCAAATTGGCAGCTGGGTTTAAAACTAGGACTCAGGGTATTCAGTACGGGGCTCTTTCTCCCTGCACCCCGCCATCTTAAGGAACTTGTTCCCCCAACCTCACCAGTGGGCACTCCTCCGGTCTCTCCCTCTGCAGCTGTGGAGAGAGTGAGGGTGGAGTGTGTGAGGTTCCTTTGATACTCCCAGGGCTGATGGTCCTGTGGTTCTGGGGAGGAACAAAGTGTGGAGAACAGAGCCACTGCCTCCCCCGGACAGAATGAAGGGCACTGGGGCTGGCGCCTGCTTCTCCTCCTTCCCTTCAGGACTGGGAGGGGCGCATGGGCTCAGCCAGTTGCTGCCTGAATTTCCTCTCCAGATCGCTGCCCGATTAGATCCCAGAAACAAAGAGTGGCCGTGAGTGCAGGAGCCACCCAGGACAGCCCCTCCCTGCTGGGTCCCTGCCTGGAATTGGTCACCCGGTTGGGCTGGAAGGGCCTCTGGGCAAGTTGGGCCAGAACCTCCCTCCCTCTAGTCTGCCCCGAGCCACAGGAGAAGAGAGCTAGACTAGTCTAGCAAGTACAGAGGAAGACACTGAGGCCCAGAAAGGGGGCCTGACTAGGCTAAGGTCACACAGCAAAGTCTTGGGCAGAGATGGGCCAAACCAGCTCTCAGGCCTAGAAGACCAGTAACCTTTCATATGCCCATACCTGTCTCCCATGCCCCCTGGATGTCCCAGAACAACCTCTTGGAGGCCTGGCAAGCATCTCATCAGACAGGTTTCTCTGAACAGTAAGGTTAAGAGAGGGGTGCGGCCAGCACTGTGACTAGCCACAGTAAGTTCTACGGCCCCAGGTCCCCCACAAGCTCCCTGGACAGGCCCTGACTGTGTGCTTTACCCTCTCCCTCACATTTATACTGTCCCCCCCTCCTGCCGCCTGCCCTGTGGCTACTGAGGGTGTTGGGGAGGGATTTGCCCAACCCCACTCCTGCTCCAGGCTAGGGATGAAGGTGGGAGGGGGGTGTGGAGGCTCAAAGCTTCAGACGCCAGAATGGCCCCTGCATCACCTCTTAATTCCCAGATGTGCAGGGAGCCACCGTAAGTCTCCATGGCAACCACCGCCCCTGGCCTCCAAAACTGGACCTTCCTGGAAGACCCTCATCTCTCAGAGAAAGGCCTCTTGAAGGAGGACACTTGAGGGGTCTCAGCCTGGGCTGCTTTCCACAGCTTCTTTGGGGGTTAGGGTCTCTCAGCCCTCACTTTTTATAGGTGAAGTTGGGCTAAAGGACCCGTGTCACGGAGAGGCCTGGTGCATCCCATCCACTATCCCCATGAGCAGCCTTCTTCCAGGGGGGCGACCGGCTATACACAAGTCAGCAAGGTCAGTTTTATAGGAATAAAATAAACCAAGGGATGTAGAGGAGGAGCTGGCCTTGTGCGAATCTGGCAGAATGCAGGCAGAAGGAATATCAAGGGCAAGACCTCAGGCAGGAAACCCTTAGAGAAGAGTAGCAGGAAACTTTGCCTTCGGGGAAGAGCCTGGAAGGGACCTGGGAAAAGGGTGGGAGAGTGTTCTAACAGGTCACTTCAATTCTCAGACGAGAAGAATGCGTGTGTGTGTCACAGGCTGGGGGTAGGGGTGACTGAGAAGAGGCTTGTCAAACCTCAGCACGGGGCCTGGCGCGCAGAATAAGCGCTCAGTCCACCGTGGTGGTTCAGGGGGCCAGGCTGCGGCCTGCTGTGGGATGCAAGGTGGGGCATAATTAGAAATCCAGCCCCAGCCCCGGTTCACAATGCGCGGGTCTAGGCAATGGTGGCGGTTCCTGGCGTCGGTGAGGCCCCCTTGCCAGCTCCGGGGCAGGAGTAGACCTGGAGGCGGCTTTGTCTGGGCCGCGCCGCCAGAACTGCGGGGGGGGGGGGGGGG